AACTTTCGTCGTCCGTGGAATTTGAACCCTAGACCTGCTACTTGGAGAGGGTGACGACTTGACCACTTCACTAAGCCGCCACACCTCTTTGTATAGATTATATTTCATTATTTGTATTATTATATATATTTAGTATTAGTTATATTTATTTAGTATTAGTTATTATTATATAGTTATATCTATTAGTATAGTATTAGTTATTATCTTTATTATTGTATTAATTATAAAAATATTATTGGCTAGTTAACTGAGGCACAGTAATGCTGCACGAGTACCTATCAGTACCTTCACACAAGTACCTGTCAGTACCTTTATACAAGTACCTATCTGTACCTTCATACAAGTACTTGTCAGTACCTTCATACAAGTACCTGCCAGTACCTTCACACAAGTACCTCTCAGTACCTCCACACAAGTATCTCTCAGTATCTCCACACAAGTACTTCTCAGTACCTCTACACAAGTACCTCTCAGTATCTCTATACGGGTACCTCTCAGTATCTCTGCATGAGTACCTCTTAGTACCTCTATACGGTTACATCTCTTATGTGTAAAAAAGTTATAAAAAGAGAGCCTTTGCCTCTTTTACTCAAGTCAGAGTTAGGCAGAGAATTCCCTACCCTCTCATAGTATCTAGCCTTACCTTCTTACTATTCTTGTCCTTGTATAAGTGATATACTCCCTCTAGGGTAATCCTAGTAGGTGAGGTTATCCTCCTTGACCTATAATAAATAAAGTATTAACTTATATACTGTCCCTATGTTGAACCGTTTGCCTCCTGCTAGTGGAAGTAGTGCATATTCCACTTCCACCCCCAATAGCAGGGTCCCTGCACCGGGTGACCTTGTTATCTTGCTACGTGGTGACCAAGAAGGCCGTAGCATTGTAACATTATTATTAAGTTATCCAGCAAACTCATATGATCATGAAAAATTTCTTTGTTATTTTTTTTTGTGTTACGATAAAATTAATGGTAATTTGCCAAATGATTGGCTACACGTGCCCGCCAAATTACCGTTATTTAACAATTTTTGCCCATTCCGGATCCAGGCATTAGCTCTAATATAAGTACCAAATTCATCAAAATATGACCATCTTTTTTTCTTGAAGATATTTCTACCACAGCAATACCCAAGACATAAATATTGACTTTTGTGAAATTCCTTATGAGATCTCTAATATCGCGTAAGATAAAATGTATGTGTTAGAAGCGTTGCCTTGGACAATATTACCGCTATGAAAATCTCAATATTCTAATCCTTATAAATAAATTACCTCAAGATCTGACGTTTCATGATTTAATAAATTTAATTTATCTTCTCATTCATTTGCACTTTGATATAAGATTATAACTAAACAAACGTCATGCTACTTTAAAAAATAAATATCTACACCTTGATCATTAGGCAGATCAAATTACCCCATATCACACAAATAATCACATCATCTGAAAGCGGCTAATGAATTGTTGGAAAATTTAAGAAACGACAATCGACCCCCAAAAAAAGAGACCGGTGTAAAATGATTCCAATAAATATGATATTTACATTGTCGAGCATAAACTTACCTCAATTAAATAAGTTCAAAAAAAGTTCGATCAGAGTTTATTAATTAGATAGCCTAACTAATCCTGGAACAATTATCGATTAATTTACCAACATAAAATCATATTATTGCAAAAATTATAATCCTTCTATTAAACCAAATTAGTATTACTTGTATAGTATAGATTCACGTGCCTTATAGTTCGAGAAACTAACCAAAACTACTAATCCGGATTGATTAATTCAAACGAACTATTTCTGTATTTAATTTAACAGGTTACCAACTATCGCTATACATATTCAACCAACCTGTGTTAAAAACTCCACAAGAACTCCGAGCGATTGAATAATAACACGTGTCGACTGACGAACACATGTTCTTGCACAGTTTTATACATTTATTTATATATACATGCATATATACATGTAACATAAATTTTATCATGTACGTACGTAGTACCGGTATTACATTTTACATCCAATCATAAAAAATTTGCACATTGCCATTCTAGTTTTCTGTTAACCATACTTCGTAATTTACATTACTACGTTCCTGGTATTAGATAAAAAGTGTGTTACGTACAATTAAAAAAAAGAGATTCTATATAGTAATATAAAATACAGTATATACGTGTTAATCTATCGCTATGCCCAGTTCACTAAATATTTATTAAAATCGGCTATGTATCCGGATATTTATTAGATACAGTATCAATCGGTGTGACATTCCTGATAGATTTTTTTTCCGGATCCCTAATTTTAGATAGAACAGTCATGGTAGCATAATCCCTGATTTATTATCATTAAGTCAAAATCATTGCTTTGCCAGGACTTATCTATCTATTATTTTTTATCGTATGATGTTTAATATTGAACGCTTTCTCATTATAGGATAATATTATTGACTATCATTTAAATCATTAAAGCTAGTGAAAAAAAATAGAAGTTACCCCGCAGAGAACTGCATTCAGTATCTGGTGTGACAAACTGAATAATATTTTTAAAAAATCGTGTCTATGTATCATGTGATGCGTAATTTACATAAAAAATTGCATCATACCGATACCGGGTAGAGAAATTTATTGTTCTAAATATTAAAATTCTTTTCGCCAGGAACTCTATGATAATAGAATTTATTTATGTAATTGTTATGTAACTATCGTGTAACGTTCAATGGAGTCGCAAATTCCGCGACTACAAATTTAGTACTTTTTTTTCCAATGACTCATCAAAATGACTAATTTAACTTTTTTGTGATACTTAAAGTTCTTTGTTTTAATCAACTGATTCTAAACACCCGATGTTTCACATTTAGGGGGCTTAGCATCGACCGACCCGATCTGCGGCATTATTACTAATAGTAATAAGTAAATGAGTAACTTCTGATAAGCAATTTTATTATAAAAGGGACAGTGTTTTTATCTTTTCAAACATAAAATTTCAGACAATTCACACTATTTTATTAAATTACCAATTAACCATTTAAACAAAAATGCAAATTTTCGTTAAAACTCTTACCGGAAAGACGATCACTCTTGAAGTTGAGTCGTCGGATACAATTGATCAAGTTAAACAGAAGATTCAGGATAAGGAAGGAATCCCCCCAGATCAGCAACGTTTGATTTTCGCTGGTAAACAATTGGAGGACGGTCGTACTTTATCTGATTACAATATCCAGAAGGAATCTACCCTCCATTTAGTTCTTCGTCTTCGCGGTGGTATGCAAATCTTTGTAAAGACTCTTACTGGTAAAACTATTACCCTTGAGGTTGAGTCATCCGATACCATCGACCAAGTGAAGCAGAAAATTCAAGATAAAGAAGGAATTCCTCCAGATCAGCAACGTTTAATCTTTGCCGGAAAACAATTGGAAGATGGCCGAACCCTCTCAGATTATAATATCCAAAAGGAATCAACCCTTCATTTAGTTCTCCGTTTACGTGGTGGTATGCAAATTTTCGTTAAGACCCTCACGGGTAAAACCATTACACTTGAAGTAGAATCATCCGATACCATCGATCAAGTAAAACAAAAGATTCAAGATAAAGAAGGAATTCCTCCGGACCAGCAACGTTTAATCTTCGCCGGAAAACAATTGGAAGATGGCCGTACCCTCTCAGATTATAATATTCAAAAGGAATCTACCCTTCATTTAGTTCTCCGTCTCCGTGGTGGTATGCAAATTTTCGTTAAGACCCTCACGGGAAAAACCATTACACTTGAAGTAGAATCATCCGATACCATCGATCAAGTAAAACAAAAGATTCAGGACAAAGAAGGAATTCCTCCAGATCAGCAACGCTTGATCTTCGCCGGTAAACAGTTAGAAGATGGTCGTACCCTCTCAGACTATAACATCCAAAAGGAATCTACCCTTCACTTAGTGCTTCGACTTCGTGGTGGTATGCAGATCTTTGTCAAAACCCTTACGGGTAAAACCATTACTTTAGAAGTCGAATCTTCTGACACCATCGATCAGGTTAAACAAAAAATACAAGATAAGGAAGGAATTCCTCCAGATCAGCAACGTTTAATTTTTGCAGGAAAACAGTTGGAAGATGGTCGTACTCTTTCTGATTATAATATTCAGAAAGAATCCACTCTCCATTTGGTACTTCGACTTCGTGGTGGTCAATAAATTAGATAGGATTTTATATAGTCAATGTAAATTTGCTTTTTTGCATAGTTGTAAAGGTTTTTTTTTTACATAATGAATATAGAGTAAAATACTTTATTGTATTTTAACTATTAATTGTCTAAAAATTTATTAATAAAGTTCATTTAATGATCTTTTGGTTCTAATTTAAAATTTTCATTTGCTTGCTATTAAAAAGGCTTTCTTGTTTGTTAAGTGTTAGAACGAAGAATTAATCTATAACGAAGGATTGGAACCTTAATCTTTGCATGAATTTCTCGTGATAAAAAAATGCTGTAAACTTGCTTAACTTGGTTTAGTCTTACATGCTTTAAATGCTATACTCAACTATATATTAATGAAAGTAAAAAAAATTTATTGATTCGGTATATATAAAATATGTAGAGGTATTTTCTTTCAATTATCAAAAGGAAAAAAATAATAATCATCATCGATTTATTCTCGCATTGTCTTGTAATATCAATGCTCATTCTTAATCCTTGGATCCAGATTTGCTATCGTCAGCATTGTAAGGATCTGTAAAGACGCTCTCTTGGGGTTGATGCCTTGAAACTTCGTCTGACATTCTCTCTGTATTCTCTTTTCGCAGCGCAGTATCTTGTTTTTGTAGTTCTTGCTTAAGTCGTACATCTGCCATACACGTACTGAATGATTTATAACTAGCCATATATCCTATCAAAACCGAAGAAGCTTTAAATCACGAAAATTAATACTGTATATATCATTCATCAAATTCCGTTATAACTAACAAATACTTACACAATACTGATATTACAACTTTGTTTGGTGATAGTTTTAGAACTCTATTTGACAGAATGCCTACGATTCATAACAATTTGAAAAGAGACGAATATGGTCAATCAAAGGAGCCATTGAAAGTCTCATCCTCTACGTGATCTGATAATAATTAAGCTTAAGTTCTTACCTGTCAATATTCCTCCACAAACACCACTATAGAATCCATCCCTCTTAGATTTTTGTTGACACACTTTTAGTGAAATAAGCTCCTTTTTTTTTTTTTTTTTGACAAATAATAAAAATTTTTAAAAAATTTTAAAAATTTTATCCTCTTTTTTTAATTTTATATTTACCGGACGTTTTCCTGCTATTTCTTTTTGTATATCTGTTAATTTTTCCATTATCGTTATTAATTATGCGTATTGAAAAAAAGTTTAAACATAAAAGTGTCAAATTCTATTTCAACAAATTTTATCAACCATCAGTATTTTAAGTATATGCAGTATTTGTGGCAGCTTATCTAAAATTGGTTAATATTTAAATGGTTTAAATTTGGTTTGAAGTATTAATTAATAAAATATTAAAAGCAATTTTATAATATTTATTAAATCTAATTTTAGTTGTTTTAAATATTCCTTTAAATATGTAAAAATAATACAGTAGTTTAGTAATAAATACGTATTTATTATATTTTTTTTAATAATAATATACTGTATTTGACAAAATGTTTTTAATTATAATTGTTGAATTTTTTGTAATATTTATAAATTGTAAACAAATATATATTTTTAAAAAAAAATCTTGTAAAATATAATTTTTAAGTTCTAGCTGCTTTTAAAATAGTTGAAAGTACAAAAAAAATTTTTTTTGTGAATACTCAAATACTCGATTAGTTTAAAGCCTAAACTAATTAAATATTCAAGTATTTACCAAATTTTTTTTATAAATATTACTATTTTTTTTTTTTTTTTTTTTATTAATATAATATCATAGTAGAAACTTTATTATAGTCAGTCTGAAGATTGAAAGTTATCTTATAAGCTACAAATCCAGGTAAGGAGACAGATAAGCTATCTATTTATAACCTGGCTGCCAAAACCCTTCAACTTGAACTAGCAGATTTTAGGAAGGTTGATTAGAAAAGGAATTTCTATGGTTAAAGATTTTTAACTATACTTGTGCTACAGAGCATCTAATATGACATTACATCTTCTATTTCCTATTTTAGTGCTATTATTAGTTTAAATAAATAAAATAAGTCTAGCTAGGATAGGTTAGAGAAAACCTTAAGGCATTTATCATAACATTACATAAAGCATGTTGTTAGAGAAAATCCTTGCAGATACCATTTTTCAATAGTAGAGCATGAATTTGGTAGTTGAGAAGTAGATGTTTCTGTGCTTAATTGATTGGTAATAATTGGCAGAGAAAATTTGGTACGTTTGGTTTTATTAGTAATATTTCGGGCTAATTTCCATTTGTGTTAATGTATATTTCATTGAGGCCATATTTCATAGTAGAACCACTTAAAGAAATTGTTTGAAAGACTGATCGCAAATGATTCAGTTTGTTTTTTTAGTAGAGTTTTGAGAGTATGATAAATTGGTTTTGAGTAAATACCAAGAATAGTAGGGAGTAAAAAGTTATATTAAGGATTTATGGAATCAAATATAGCTTGTGAAAAAGTATTAAGAATTGTAATTGATGGAGTCAATGTAATTTTGAGCTGATTTAATGTGTTTGAGGTTATATTAAGAAGTAATTGTTGAATATTTTCATTGTTTTTTGAACATAAAAGTATGTGAAGAGTGTTTTCTATTGCAGAACATTTACAACAGCCATCTGTTGTATAAAGATTAAGGTATCAGATTTTAAGATTTTGCATAGTGGGTAGATTATTTGTAAGAACTTTAATATAAAAGGAGTATTTTGAAGAGCAATGCTCAAAAGAGTTAAGAATTTTGAAGGTAAGATTCTAATTTATATCAGATATATAATTCTTAAAGAATTTAAAAAAAGTCAATGAGAGAAGCTCTTGAATTGTAATGGTGCTTTTGATAAACAAACGAATTTTAAGTGTTATTGTGTGGTTATACCAGATAAAGTGAATGGGGAGATTAAAGTGTGAAGAAAAAATTTATATAATTGGTTTAGTTGTGCCATGTTTAGCTAGAAGATCAGCTTGGTTATGGAAAGAGTTATTTGAATGTAATTTAACTTTAATAAGATTAATAGAAATATTTTTAGTAAAGATAATGTCCCAGTTTTTTTGTTGGATAGGTTTATGAGATATAATGTCTGATAGGCCTTTAATTGCTAAAAGGCTATCCATATAGATAGTAAGTGTAGAATTGATTGGTAAAATAAGAAGTAAAGGAATGGTTGTTATTAGTTCTGAGTAAGTGGAGTTAGGAGAAGAAGGGATTGCTGCACAAAAATAAATAGAGAGGTCATTTTCACAGATCCAACTAATGCCAGTCTGTATATTAGATGTTAGAAGATTTTTAATAGAAATATCAGTATAGAATTGTAAATCAGTTGTATTTAAGTTTGAGATATTATTATATAGTTGGATTAGGTAGTTTTGATAGCTAGGCGTTTTGATGGTGTGTTGTATAAGATGTATTACATGAGAGGATAAATTGATTTGGGATTGGTGTAAAGAAGAAGTTGGAGTTATAGTAAGATTTTTAGATATATAGATTATTGCAAGAATTTCATTATGGTCTATTTGTAGAAATAGTTTTTTGAAATTAATTTGTTTGTATAGTAGATTTATAAATGTTAAGTTGTATACTGTATTATTAGTTTTCACCAGTTCTGTAAATCTTGCAAATTCTGTTTGTTCAGTTTGTGTAGTTGATGAGATGATTTGGTAATGATTAATTTGTTGAGAGTTTGATTGATTGACAATT